TTTCTTGGTATGACTTTGGTTTGTTTTCTGGCAAGGGAGCTGCAAACCACATCATAACCTTTTAGAGCATAGTCACTCTTATGTCCTCCCATTTTGCATTAAGTTCTTTTTCTGGATTCTTTCTGCTAGATTTCCTAAGGGCACAATCCAAGTTCCTTTGCCCCACACTTCACACCCTGCACTTCATCAAGATGGCCCAGCCCCTTCCACACCCCTTGCCTTCCTCTCCGAGGTTGGTGGCATGGTTCTTTCCATATGGCTGTGAGTGGGGCCAGGCAGAATCCCTGTGATAGTCTTCCAGCTCCAAAAGTGCAGGCCTGTGGATCTGGGACTCTTAAATAATCCTATGGACCCCCCACCCCCAGACAGTGTCAGGCGTACATATGGTTGCACTTTAAGTGTGCTTGCATTTAGAAGCAATTGTTCGTTTGTCATCTGAACTGGGCAATGGGAAGCTGGCTTTCCAAATCTAATCTGTCAGCATGATGTCATTTTAAGAACATAGTAGTTTGTTTTTCTATTTTTCTAACACTGAAATGTCTAATGCAAACTTCAGTTATAGGGCACTGTGGAATTTCTAGCTTGGAAGACAGTTTACTGCTAACAGTTGCATGATAAGAAGGGAAAGTAGGTGCCGCAGAAAGAATTAAATCTTCATATAGATGCGAAAAAGCAGTGGTCCAAAAGAAAAAAAACGGCATAGAGTAGAGACCTATAGCATGGCTAACAGATGGTTTTGTTCTGTGCATTCAGCTGGATTGGTTTTGGGTTTCCAGATTCCATCCACCCCAGAACAGAAAGGCTTATACAGAAATAGGGGGATGTGTGTTCAGTCTTCGATATTTCCATGTAGGGAATGACAGTCCTCTTTATGTCCACCCTGATCTGGGGTTCAGCACAGTATGGCCTGATGCTGTGTGTCCTTAAAGGCTGCTTGTCCCATCTAATCAGAACCAGGAAGACTCTCTGTGTGAAACTCTGGAGAGCTGCTACCAGTCAGTGTGGGTACTGCTGAGCTTGATGCAGTAGCCTCTTGCAGTATAAGGCAGCTTTCTCTCTTGCTAAAGGTTTGCTTAAGGAGGCTCTGCTGGTAACCTAAGTGGGACTGGATAGATTTCATGCTAACACGTGTAGTGGGAGCATCAAGACAGATCAAAGGAGGCACTTCTTCACCCAGTGCTGTTAAACTGTGGCCTCACTTTGGCAGGGTGTGATGGTGGCCACCAATTTTGGATGGCTTTAAAAGAAGATTGGTCAAATGCTTGGAGGAGAAGTCTGTCAGTAACTGCTTGGCCTGATGGCTGCATGCTGCCCCCTGCACCAAAGACAGTATGCCTGTTAACGCCAGCTGCTGGGGAACATGGGTGGCAGTGTGTTTTTACCAGTGCCCTGCCTGTGGGTTTCCCACAAGCAGCTGGTTGGCCACTGTATGGACAGAAAGGTGGAGGTGGTGGACTTTGACCTGATCCAGCTGGGCAGTTCTTACATTCTTAGGCTGGACATAAAAACTGTTAGCTCTGAAGCATCTAACAGTATCTTTTGCAGTACTATGACCCTTAAAAAAAGAAAGACATGCATGATAAAATTCAACTGTAATTTGTAATCCAGTCCAGGTAAATGTTATAGCATGAACCCACAAACAAGTGTTCAGACTGCAACTTGGCGCATCCTACAAAAAGTCTTGGGAGGTACTGTTGTAATGTTGTGTAATCTGGCACTGAATATCTTCACCGAACTATCCTGTGTAGGAGCTGCTATTTAAATACAAGAACTGTTTATGTGAATAAAGACTCACTGCCCAAACCAGCACATAACTGGTTGAATTTGAGGGTAGGTGGACCATTGGCAGGTTGTGCCTCCTGAAATTACATGCCAGCCCCTACCTTTGAACACCTAAGCTTGTAGGTGGAACCTCAGAGGTGGCCTCTGCCCAACCCCTAAGCTTTCTGGTTCCCAGTTCAACTTCACTTACGTAGCTTGAAGCAGCAATCCAGATTGTTTAGACGGGTGGGTGAAACACTGAACTTCTAGAATGATTAACTCCCCCATTCCTGAGAGCTAGAGCAAGAGATCTTCCCGTTTAGAAATCTACAAAGAAACAGGGTTGTCTTACTGCTGTCATAACCAAAACTACGTAATGAAGCTATTCAGAGGTTGTTTTATTCACCCTTCTCTAAGAAACGAAGTACAAGTAATACACAGGATACAGAAAATGTTTTGAACACAGGATGGTAGGGCCACTTGTCCTCTGATTTCCAAAATCATATGTTTGGCTGTAGATGGCCATGCATGTGACTTGAATAAAAACTTCAAGGGAAGCTGCTTCAGCCATGAAACAGGAATGTAGTGAGCAGAGTACAGGGCCGTGGGGTCTACTTTGCTTGGATAAAAAAATCAGTGATATTTTTTAAATAAAAAAATCAGGTGTTTATAATTCTGGTTTTTATTTAATTCAGATGTTTTGATTTAAATTGGATTTTTTTTAATAAAATGCTTTTTGGGGAAAATTTATCTAAAGATAGTTTTCTATTAAAGATACTTTATAGTCCAAAGGTGATTTATCGTGACATAAAGATTAGTTTTTCATTATGTAGCATGAGACTGTATATTCATGCAATGTTTAAAGTTTTTGGTAAATGAATTCCTTTAATCCGCTCACAATGCCATGCTCTTCCAGAGGTTTCTGTAAGTTTATTGGACAGTTTTTCAATCTAGAAGATATTATCATAGATGCTTGGTTTTACAGTTATCAAAACAGTGAATTTTTGTACCCAGACATCACATGCCTCTTCTTCACAGCAAAAACATTAGAAAATAAACATACAGAGTTGAGAAAAGGGCCTTAATCCTATTGTTCCTTTGTAAATCTGTGTACACAGAATCAACCCCATACCTCTTAAATGCTAAGTTTCAAAACATTAAATGAATAGAAGAAGATTGTTGGGAGTAGAATACAGTAGATCTGCAGAAGAAGCTAAGTGTGAGGAGAGAGGAACAAGCTGTAGAAATGAAAGTGAAACCTTTTGTGCAGACTGCTCCACAAGTCTTTGGATCTTTTTGGGATCTTTATCATATTATTCTTTCCTTGGAGAAAACCTATAATGACAGCAGGCCCTAAAACAGATCCAGTTTGGGAGTATTTTAATAAAGTCCTCCACCTACGGGTAAGGCAGGCATGCGTACAAATTGTGTAGACAGCCATGATTTACGGACTAGTGATGTAAATCATTTGGTTTAAATCAAATCTATACCCTGTTTGCTTTTCACTAGAACCCCAAGGTACACCAGCTGGAGCCAAGTGCAAAATAGCAGCTCAGGAAGGGGATATAGAATTGCAGAGTAAACTGTCTCTGAGTATTTGCTTAGCCCAGGAATTCATTTTCAATGGGAGGACTGGAACGTATGTACAGATGCTTTCACACACATCTGTTCCTGTTTTCCCCAAACCTTTCTTGATTGCAGTAGCTTAATTTAGGAAAATACATTTTGTGGTCTGGCATTATTCTTAAGCCATTGAGAACCAAATTATTGCTAATCGACTACAAATAACCTGGAGATTTACAAGTAGTCTCTCCCTTTTTTGCCCACTCTAATCTCTGGTATACCTTAGCATGACTGAGCCACTGCTGTGCCATAATACCTTTACTCTTTCTGCTACCTAGGGTTGTGCTGTGTTTGCCCATTCTGAATATAGACATTATAGGCTGCACCCTTGACGCTTGTAACTCCCTCAGTTCTGAGGTTTATGAGTATCCAGTGTAGAGCAGGAGGAGTGGTGAAGATAGAAACTCAGAAACTGAGCAAGTCAAAAGTGGCCTCCCGGGCCCTTGTTAGTCAGTGCAGCGTAGGGCCACAAGTTTGGTGGCCGGTGTGCAGGGGATGCCATATGAGGCGAGACTGAGGGAACTGGGTCTCTTCAGCCTGGAGAAGAGGAGACTCAGAGGGGATATGTTGGCGACATACAGGTATGTGAGGAGATGTCACATGGAGATGGGTAGAGACCTGTTCTCCCCTGCAGAGGAAGGCAGGACGTGCTCCAACGGAGCAAAGCTCAGGGAGCCAAGGTTCCGTTTGGATGTC